TAGTACGGTGGTCCTATAGCGAAAGCATTCTACGGGGAAACTGTATAATTGTATGTTTATGTGTGCTGGGTTTTTGGGAACGATTAGGTTTAAAGGGCTAAGAGAGTGGGTTTCAAACCTGAGGACAAAGTGAATTTAGGAATTAGGATCAAAGTTTTCAAGGTTGCAACTTAGGGTGTGAGGTTGCCACCTTGTATGGAATCGTTAAAATAGGGGATCAAGAGTGTGGTTGAAGGGTAGAAAGGGTTTTGAAATAAGGAGGGGGGCCGATTTTCTGAGGGAGGGAAGGGAATTCGGCTAGGATGGGTTAAGGGTTCTCGATCTTCAAGTGACTATTCTGGTTTGATGCTTTGATCACGACGTATTGACGAACTGATGATCCTTCTTCCTTGGTGTTGGCACTTGCTTGACTTTAAGATCCTTGTTAGACCTTGCTTCCCAGGCTAAGGTTTCATCCTTCTCCCCTATCTTGAGGGAATCTCCCGTGATGATTTAACACTTACTTCTTTAATGCGTCTAAGGTCTTGACCAAGTTTGGTCAACCAAGCCAATCTCTTAGGGCGCACTTCCCAAATTCTTCCCAAAGTTTCTTGGGAGTCGGTAAACTTTGGGTTGATTTTCCCTTCTTATTGAATTTCATCTCCTCTTTAGTGAATGAAATTCTTAGTAAGACTTCATGTCTTCCCCGAGGTTCGACTAGTTGTGCCTTTTTGTGTTACTTTTAATGGTGAAGGTGTCCTTGCATGCTCTTTTTCTTTTTGAAGTGCAGTTGGTTACCTAACCTTGTTGTGGAATGACTCGGTGACTTTACGAGTCATCTCATTTCCTTGTGGGTCCTTAATGACCCTTGAGATCTTGGCACAAATGTGCTTTTTACCTTTTTGCCTAGCACCACGGACTACGTAGTTCTTGATTCCAAACAACTTGTAAGGAGTCCTCTGATTTGCTTGAACGATATCCATGGTTTGAAGGAGTCCCGGTCCATCCTTAGCATTTTGACTTTTAAGGTCTTTGTGAGTCCTTAGCACGAGTTCCCAACTTACCTCCTTAGTTTGCACAATCCTTTATGCCAATCATCCCTAGTCGGTTGTATCATAGAGTCCAACTTCAACTCCACGTGTAATGCAATTGGTTGTGCTTTTCCGATGATGTCTTGTGTGTCAAGGTCTTTTACCGATGACACCATGTTTGGGCGACCCATGGTTCTTTACTCAAGACTCGCGTTCATCAATCGAGGCACACAAGTGCGCCATGAATCAATAAAGTGAGGAGTTAAGAAATCAGTACATTGTACCAGTGGGCGCGAGGTGGGCGGTCGTCCGCCTGCCAAGCTCCTGTTGGGGACCCGTCAAGGTCCCGTTGGGAACCCGCGGAAGGTGACTAGGAAGAGTGAATTCCTTCGGGGAAAATCCCAAGAATGCACAGATTCAAGTCCCGACAAGCCCCATGTCCATGTGCACAATAGAAGGGACTTGAATACATAGGGTGGCCCATCGTATAGTTTTATTGATCCTTAGGTACGAGTTATAGATGAGTCAAGACTCTCGCATGTTCTTTTTGCTCACTAGGTCGGGTCCGGTTTCCAACTAGCAACCTCATCACCTTTACCGGGTGGTTGGTTATAAGCCAACTTTGTCTTTTCCTTACTTGATTAATGATAAGCCTTCTTGGTTTTTCTTGGAGTTCGGCTTGTCGCTCGTTCTTTGTTCAGTCCTTTGGCGACCAAGTGCTTGGTGATGCATTTCTCTTCCTTGGAATGCATTGATTGACTGCCTTTGACGTCGCATGGTGTTTTGGCGATTTTGTGTGTTACATGTACTTCTTACGGTGTCTTAAAACCATCAAGGTCCTTGTTCCCAGGTAAGACCCTTATCGCCGGGAGGCTCTAGTTGTATGATACTTTCCATGCGTCTGTTGCCTCTTATTGTCATACCGAGTCCTTTTCGACAATTCGTGCTAACCATTGAGAAAAGACGTTGTTCATGTACTACTTTTCTTTCTTGCATTTAATTGGCGTTCCCGGTCTCCGGGCTAGGATAGTTTCGCCCATTCTTAACCAGTTCCGGAAGGGTTCGCTCATGCTAGAGGGAGCGGTCTCCCACTTCCGTTACTCCTTCTTTCGGGTTTGTCCCTAAATTCCCCGTTTGGTAGAGGTTGGCATTACTGGTGTAGGCTTCGTTGGGTGTGCGGGGTTTGCTTACAATTAGGGCCTTCTGGGTTTCGTTGTTGTGGTCTGTCACAGACTTCTTTATCTTGGTTGTCTCTGTAGGATCTAATTCAGGCGCAAAACGAGCTAGCTGGAGGGATCGTTTGTGGTATTCCCTGATGGTGGTCATCCCTTGTTTTAGGTGGAGGATTTTCCTCGTACATGGTTGCCCTTACAGGTGCGGGGTGGAATCGTCCTCGTAGCCGTGCCCCTAGGCACTCCTAGTTGAACCCCTGGTTGTTGCCCATAAGTGGGTTCTTCGTGGATTTATCAAAGATCAGCCTCGTGTCTTGAAGTGGAATGAGGCTTTCCCTACGCGGCGTTCCTCTGGGTATTCCATTAACCCGAGGACTTTGTTGAAGGTTCGGGTTCATTCTTCGAGGAGTGTGAGATCCTTGACTGTCTTCTTGTTGGCGCCATGCTGCTGGTTTTCAGGGTCAATATTTATTGTACCGATGAGTCAGTGTGCTGCACCCTTACCTTGGTGTGGTAAGCGTAGGGGAAGTTATTTTAAGTTAGAGAGGGATAAGGTGAGGGGAGGTTATGTGTAGGTTTCACAATCTCACCGCGCGTCCTAAGATTCCTGAATCCTATGTTCCTAAGTACCTAGAGTTCAAGCCTAATGTCCTAAAGTCCGGTCCTAAGAGTCTTATCCTAGGGTCAAACTTAGGCTCTGATACCAACTGTAACATCCCAGATTTTAAAGACTTTTAAAACTTATATAATAAAGATAGAATCTCATTAAATCCCAAAATACGATACAAGAGTACGGGGTGCTATGCCACACCCGAGCTAGAGAACCCGGGTGCACAGGCTAAATTCTAAAACCTCAATCAGTATCAATACTAAATCATGGCACGCAGGCCGAAAGGGAAAACTATCTTAAGCTACGCCCCAAGCTTCTAGCGCGCTCCAGTGATCTACCCGTCTGTGCCTAAAAGCCAAATATATCTGTTCAGCGAGAGATGCTGGTAACCCACTCCAACGCGTTGAAATACAATACATATAGACATATATATAGATATACGAAAACCATTTTGAAGCATGCAGATATATCCTACGAGACTCTGGCTTTTAAAACAGGGATCGACTCAACAGATAGGGCTAAGCACAGACAGCAGTTATACCAAGCATATACAGTTTACAACAGGCAAGATAGGTAAGATAAGCACAATTAATAATCATAATCCAACACATACGAGTCCTAGTATAATTCCCACAGTCACATCCCCAAGACAATAACAACAACTCATCCATATCTCATCACATAGCACACTTTGTTGGCGCCACAGGACCAATCGCATGCCCATACATGAGGGTCAGCGCATATAGCTCTGACACGGCCCCACAGCACCCTGCCCCGTATTGCAACACGGAGGGGTCGATCGCAATCGACCGATGAACCGCAGCTCATCATAGTTTGATCGCAACCAAACAGTGGACCGCAGCCCAAGAGTATGTCATCTGACCGCAGCCAGGAAATATGAACCGCAGCTCATGTAGAAACGTTTGATCGCAACCAAACGGTGGACCGCAGCCCAAGAGTGTAAATCTGACCGCAGCCAGCTTCTGAACTGCAGCTCAGGAATAACCAATCCGATCACAACCGAATTGGGGTATCATGCACACATAACACATAGCAAGCACATGCAACCCACATTAACACATTGGGAAGGGGGAGAAAACGTATAACAAAACCTATGCGTGATCCTTCACATACTAAGAATAATCGTAAGGGGTTCATACTTCTTTCACCTAGGTCAACGGGATACCAATTCAACTAGCATGCAATATATAAGACTCATACAACCTACGAACGGTACCCGAAATATCAAACTAGACATAGGCACGATAGACGGAGTCCGTTGGGACGCCACGGGGGTCGGGGAAACATCAAACGGGGAAGCCAAAATCCCAAGGTGGGGTTCAAACCAGCGGGTAGCCGGTGGGTGAGGGATCACCCGCCGGCGGTAGCAAATCCGGGCAGCGGATGCCCGGCGGGCAGCTGCCCGCTGCCGGCGTTGCCCAAGAAGGCCGCGGGTAGGTGGCGGGTCCCCTACCCCCACCTACCCCCCACTGACTCTTTCATCACAAAAACGCCCCGGGAACCTTTGTGGAACCCGAAACCATGCTTAGACACTTTCCAACGCAATTGATAACGTACGTAGACAATTAACAGATCAAAATCAAGAAACATACGGCACATAACCTATCATGCTTTTAAACATAATCAACACCCAATCATGCGAATTCCCACCCCATATACCAAGAAGGATATCATACGATACAACCTAGGGTTCTAATCACTTTTAAATCAATAAGGACACAATTCATCTTCTAATATCAAGATTCAGTAAGAATATCACATAAACATCAAGAACATCTTACAATTATCAAGAACATCATATAATCATCAAGAACGTCATATAATTATCAAGAACATCATAATTATCAAGAACCTCTCATCATCGAGATCACCCATGGAATCATCCCACCAATCATCAATAATAATATCACAAATCATCAATACACAATAATATGGGGAAATCCTAAGAGGGGAATCATAGCTATGAAAATAGGTTTTGTTGAGACATGGGTTACCTCTTAGCCTTAATTAATTCCTTGGCCATGAAGGGTCTTTCTTTAAGCTTTCTTCTTTCTTGATTTCTCCTAAGGGGATTCTTGGAACTTCTTGTGTGGTGAGAGATTATGGTGGTGAAAGATCTAGGTGCCTCCTATATCCCTATTTATATATTTAAGACTCCTAATTAGGGTCTGAATGGTATGGGTTTACTAATTCTATTCCTTATAGGACTAAGGGCTTATTTTAGGGATAAGGGTCCATGGTCCATAGTGGACGATATTAATTAATTAAAGGGAATCCTAATCGTAGTCTGAATAGTAAAAGGCCTACTTCCTTTATTCCTAATAGATAACTAGGTCTAGGATTCCTAATTAGAATCTGAATAGTAAAGGGTTTACTTTCTTTATTCCTAATAGGCTTAAGACTCTAATTTAGGCAAGGGTCCACGGTTCATGGTGGACCTTATTAATTAATTAAATGAAACCTAACCGTATTAAATCATATTTAATTATTATTAACGGGATTAATTAAATAATTAATCCGGGATTGAAGGCCGTAACACGGGGTGTTACAGAGTAGCTCCCAAAGCTTTGGCGAGTCTTACTCCTCCTAACACGGCCTCTTATTCTGCCTCATTATTGGATGCCTTAAACTGGTATTCCAAGGCATAGTATAATCGAAAACCCTCCGAGGTGGTCAGCATGACTCCTCCTTCACAATGTTGACTACTCGCCGCTCCGTCCACATGTAATTCCCACCATTCGCCTTCGCTATCCAGGGAGGCCGGTGCCGTTTCGGTCTCTCGGGCAGTGCACTCGACTATGAAGTCGGCTAACGCTTATCACTTAATGGATGGGCGGGGGTGATACTCGATCCCGTACTTTGTCAATTCCACGACCCACTTTACCAGTCTCCCTGGGGATGTACGATTTCGCAACACTCCGCCCAGCGGCTGATCGGTCAGGACTCGGATGGTGTGCGCTTGAAAATAAGATGCCAACTTCCGTATGGTGATCACCAGGGCATATAATACCTTTTCCAACGGGGTATACCGCCCTTTGAGATGCGACTATGTAGAGGTACAGTGGTTCCCCTTCTTGAGGTGTGGAAAGCGAAGGAGGTGTTGAAAAGTACCTTTTTAATTCCTCAAAAGACTCCTGGCACTCATCGGTCCAAGTAAAACCTTCTCTTTTCTTCATTGCCTCGAAGAAGGGTATGGTTCTATCAGCCGACTTGCTGAGAAAACGGCTAAGGGAAGCCAGTCGACCCGTTAGTCTTTGGAGATCATTGATTGACCCCGGAGCCTCCATATCCATGATCGCTTTTACCTTCTCAGGATTTGGTTCGATGCCTCTCTTGGTCACCATATACCCCAAGAATTTCCCTCATTTGACTGCAAAGGCACAGTTCTTGGGATTTAGTCGTAAATTATACTTCAGCATCACCTGAAAACATTCGGACAGGTCGTGAGCATGGCTCATCTCTTCCTTGCTCTTGACCAACATGTCGTTTACGTAGGCGGCCGTTGACTTCCCCAGCAAGTTATGAAATAGCCAAGCGACCATTCGCGTATACGTGGCCCCCGCATTCTTAACCCCTAAAGGCATTACCTGATAACAATATACCCCATCCGGCGTGATGAATGTCGTCTTCTCCTCGTCCGCTCGGTGCATGTAAATCTGGTGGTATCCCCTGAAAGCGTCCATGAAGCTTAACAGGGTTGGCCCCGCTGTCTTGTCCACCAACTGGTCGATCCTAGGCAGGGGAAAGGGATATTTGGGCAGGCTTTGTTGAGGTCGGTATAATCAACGCACATCCTCCAAGAGGGTGGTTTTAGTACTAAAACCACGTTGGCTATCCAGTCCAGGTATTTTACTTCCCGAATGTGGCCTACGGCTACCAGTGTGTCCACCTCCTTCTTGACGAACTCGCGCCGGTCATTGGCTAGGTACCTCTTCTTTTGGATCACGAGTCGATAACTCGGATCCACCGCTAGTTTATGCGAGATAATCAAGCGAGCGACTCCTGGCATATCCTCGAGGCCCCAAGCAAAGACCAATCGGTCCTCCCGAAGTACTCTAATGATCTCTAACTGAACTCTTTCGTCCAAACCGGCTCCAATTCGCACCTGCCTTTCAGGATGCGCGGGGTTGATTTCTATATACTCCAATTCGACCGCTGGCTCAGGTCGCGGGGGTATCACCTGCTTTACTGATTGCTCTGTGATTTCGTGCACCCTCATTTCTCGCTTTCCCATCCGTTGACACGATTGAAGGTAACATTCTTGAGCAGCCCTCTGATCACACCGTACTGCCCCTACTCTGGTCGGCGTACGGAATTTTAAGCACAAATGTTGCACTGAGATCAATGCCCCCAAGTCTTCCAAACCTGGCCGGCCGAGGATCATGTTGTGTGAACACGTCAAGTCCACGACTATGAACTTCATATCTAATTTACGGACATTGGGATAATCCCTGGCCTCTACCAGCAAGGTGATGGCACCTTCGGCTTCTATAGAATCCCCCGTGAAACCAGCTAATGGTGTCTTTACGGGAATCAGATTTTCTCGGGTCAGCCCCAACTTGTTGAAGGTCTCTAAATATAGGATGTTGACACTACTCCCTGTGTCCACCAAGATTCGTCGGATGACCACCCCATTTACGTCCATCGCTATAACAAACGCATCGCGATGTGGCGTTTGACCGGATGGCAAATCTTTGTCAATGAAGGTAATGGGTTCACAACATACCCTCTTCGCATCGCTCTTACGACCATAAACCGTTCCGACATACTACTACCGAGCCCATGTATTCCGAGTGTTTGACGAGTTGCCTCTTTCCGGACCACCGACTATCATGTTAATAACCGGCTTTTGCTTCCATTGGGCCTCGTCTTCTGAAGAGGCCAGTCTCTTTCCACGATCTTGGCCAGTTGACCTAGCGGGGCCTCCGTTTGGCTTGTGCTGCGGTGGAGCTTTCCTACGCCACTGATTGGCGGGTGGCGGTATGCCTTCTCAAATTATTTCCTCCATTATCTTCTTCAAGTAAGAGCATTCTTCCGTGGTATGAGTGTATGACTTGTGGTATCGACGGGGTGGTGGCGGTCACTCGGATGAGTTGATGAAGGTGGTGCGCCTTCCTGTACCGTGTGTATCAGTGGGGGGGGGGGGGGGGGAGTGGTCGATAAGAATGAGAACGCCTCCCTTCTAAACAACTCGGTCGGTTACCCTGATGTTTCTCCTTTGCTTCGCCCTTTGCTCGTTTAGACCCGGAGGTCCCGCTGGTTTCTCGTTGCCTCTTGTATTTGACCCCTTGTTTTGTGTTGGACCGCTCGTTCGCCATATGTATGGTCTCCACATAAGTGGCCGACCGATTGTCACGAAGGTCGGTGTACATCTTTCCAGACCGAAGCGACTCGATGAAAAATGTGAGCGCAGTCTGATCCTCGACCCCCTCTATGGCTTGGACCTCCTTTTTTCATCGCGCGAGATAAGTCTTGAGCGACTCACCTTCATCCTGATGAATATCCGAAAGGTGCGTCAAATCCCTCTTGGGCTTGATATTTGCCGCATAATGGCTCATGAAGAGGTCAGCCAGGTCGTCAAAACTGCAGATGGACCCTAATGGGAGAGAAATGAGTCATCGCTTAGCAGGACCCTTTAAGGTGGGCAAGAAAGCGCGACACATAACTGGGTCTTTAACTCCAAGGACTTGCATCTTTGCCTGATAGCTGAGGAGATGCTCGCATGGATCACCCGTCCCGTCAATGGTGACTTGCTCTAGGAATTTGAAATCCCCCGGTATTTTGAATGACATAATCTCGGTCGAGAAAGGTAAGGCGGTGAGCAAGGCTCGACCGTGGGATTTAGATCTTCCTTCTATCTGATCCTTCAAATTTCGTATCTCTTAGGCTAGATAAGTCATTTCGTCAAGATTTTCCGTCCGATTTCCTGTGGGTTCTGTGTTTTCTTCTTCTTGAGACTTGGCCTGGCGGCTCATTGCCGCCGCCTTATTTCTTATTCGTCGACTTTGGGTATTAGTCGGGTGTACGACCGTAGTTTCTCCTTGACTCCCCCATTTCTCCTAGCAGGCGGGACTCAACTAGGCGCCTTCTCGCCCAGTCACTCTCATACGGAATGTCGAGTGGTGTCAGGGCCCAATCTCGAATACACGGATTGGGTCTACTGAACTCCCTCGTCCTCGACTCTCCTGATCTCTTTCCTCTTGGCCAGAAGGTTGGACCTGGTCATTCCAAGGCGCATGGGGTGTTAGAGGGGCAGGCGGGGCCCTCTGCCTTTGTGCCCGATCATCCACCGCTTGAGCGATAGCGTCAACTAGAGCGGGTGTAAGCGGAACTAAAGGTGGCGGCGGTGGTCGGGGTGCCGAGTTATTCTCTTGTTCTCTCGAATTGGGTTGGCTCAACTGTTCTCACAAATCCCTCCTCGCGTTGTGAGCATTACTACCTCTAGAAGCGTGGCTTCGTCCTCTTTCGACCATCTTCTTGGTCTACTGCTCTCCGTGAACCCTATTAGGTTGATGTTTTTCGACTTTACTCGTGTAAAGAACATGACGTAACTTCTATCACGATCCCCACAAACGGCGCAAGTGTTGATTTTAGGACTTTTGGGGCCCACAGAGGTCCAACACAATCCGTTAGATTGGTGGATTCACCGGTACCAAATGGTGCACAAAGGAGACTAAAGGAGAGAATTTGCTATTGAGGTTGCTCCGAATTGTACGAGTGTTTCTCTGAACTTTTTAACAGTTGCCCCAACCCTTTATGGGAAGGGCCTATTTATAGGCGACTAACTTACAAGGTTCAAAATAAGTAAATTAATGTGTAATAATTAGGAAATAAAGTTGAGAGACGTTGGGTCTCCGTTTCTGGGCTCATCCAATGGCTGGGTTGACCGGCATTAATGACACGCATTTAGGTAGCAACGGTCATCTAGGCCGACTGACTCCTGCTGATACCGACTCTATTGACTCAACTCCGACCCTTACTGAACTCTCAACGAGGCCTTTGTAGAGCGGGTCTTACTTTCTTGGCCCAACTCCCAAGAGCCCATTTCCCTTATTTACTTTCCTTATTTGGGCCCCCAGCCCATTGGGGTCCATACCCCATCAATGACGTGACAGAGATAACTATTGTTTTTTTTTTTTGAATGCATATCATCTATTGTCCTTAATTGTTTCACTTTTTAAAGTACATGAACTAAATTGAACAAAATTAAAATAGAATGACTACATTAAATAAAACAATGAGCAAATTACCAAAATGATCCCTCGACTATGTCGATTTCACCAATTTAGTCCTACTCATTTTGATTTCTCTAATCAAATCCTCCGACTATCAAAATTTTAACCATTTTAGTCCTCAGGTGACTTGGATGGCCAACTTCCGGCGATGGTAAGGGTAGTTTAGTAACTTCGCAATTATTCCCGCTGAATCGCAATATTTGTCGCTTTCATTCACCACTGCAATTTCAGTAGTCAAAATCCCAAAGCTTTGTCAACATAAACCCTAGAAGTCGAATGTGCGTGAAGCAGAAGGCGAAGCATACAAACTCCTGTCTGAAGTATGGAGCAACAGAGTAATGGCAACTGATGGTGGAAGCGGAACATGTATTTATACTTTGCAGATCTTGCTTTATTATACTGCGGAAAGAGACTTGGTTTATTGTACTATATTCTCAGTGGGGACCATATACATATGAATTTCCGTAGTTGTTAACGATGTATTAGTATTTGAGACTGCTATGTTTGCCTGCACTGTGCAATATGAAATTAATGGGGACCATTGTGTTGTCTGTGCATAAAAGGGGAGCAGTGTGTTGAGTAAATGGGGACCAGTGTGTGAGTAAATGGGGACCAGTGTACTTTGTTGTAGTCAGATTCTTTTTTGTAGTCATGTGGGAACTATGTGCTTTTACTTTTATTTGTTAATTTGTTGTCAGACAGCATGTTTAAAGTGGTTTTACTTGCTTTGTTTAAACAACGTTTTTATTGTTATTGTTTTCTGTGTTATTATATTATATACAGGTTGTTATAATTTCCCATTAAACCTAAGGCATTGTGTAACACCCCCTAATTTTTATGCTAATTAAAGCCTTAAACATGTAGATATCTAAGCAAAACATCAACACAGCGGAAGACTGAAACGGATTATATAAATTGGAAACGGAAGGGGTGCTATGCCACGCTCACACAGAGGTGAACGCACAGGCTAACATCTGCATAATTCATAAATTAAAACCATACATGTCCAAAATACTAAAATCTATCCTTGGCACACAGGCCATAACAACACAAGATGGGAGCTACACTAGCAGGCTCTAGACCGCGCTCACATCTAAACATCACCTGAAAGAAACACATAAAAGATGGGACGATGCCCGCTCAACGAATAATGCTGGTAACCCACCAATACATGTGAAATATCATAAGTAGATAGATATACGTTTGTAAAACCATTTGCGAAACGGAATATGTATATATAAGTTCCAAAACCGAGAGCAGAAGTCAACACAAGACTCTAAGCACTCACAATCAACAATACGGGAACACATCCCAAGACACGAAATGAAACAACGACTCACAAGAACAGCTCAAGGCATAATCTACCATCACACAGTAGATTAACACCCAACATTCATAACACAAGATAATAAGGACACAACCAATGGCAACACATGCCTTTGTGACTACACACGTCACAAGAAAAGATACTCACAACAACGGCTACACAAGCCTTCGTGACATCACACATCACGAATTGTTATGCCTTCCTTATGCCCGGTTCCAACCTTATGGCTACCCCCAACCTTATGTCTAGTTCCAACCATTACCTCCAGGACCCCTGTACTTCTTAGTCCAACCTTTTCCCTCCAGGGACCGTCGTCCCCCACCAACAAACCACCAACAAGACCACCAATTCAAAGTACACAAGGTACCGATCACATACACGGCGACACACGCCTCTCCAAATACGTGAACCCGACACACAGGTCACAAACTCCATAATCACATCATGGCCACCACAATGACCACTGCCGTACCTTGGTGACTAGTGTCCCATACCACTAATCGTGTAATCCAGGTACAACCACACACACATCACACCACAACAGGAATCAATCAACGGATCACAACGAAGATATGAAACCATACTCAATCAAGGAATGGATCACAGTCCAACAACAACAACGATGAATAACACAAGTCATCATCAACGATAGGATAGTACAAACAACACACACGCTAGCATTTAAACACCGAACTAGCATGCTTATCAAACGGGTAAACCAAACGTAGTTCCGAAGAACACACAAGACTCATCACGGTTCAACGAAACACAATGTTGAACACTTAGCACGATTCAAGACACCAACACCTACATGAATTCCTACCATATAGTTCTAGACATACGAAACATCAAGAAGACACTCAAATAGTTCCACAAAAGAACAACGGGAAGTTAAAAGACCAAATACCGAGTCAAAAGAATCACGGGGAACAAATCACCAAACAACACCAGCATGTTCCCCGCGGGTAGACCCCCACCCGTGGTTCCGCCCGCCGGTACACACCCACCGGCCTTATGTTCCCCGTGGGTGGGCGGCGGGTAGGCCACTGCCCGCCGTTTCGCCCGCGGGTACGTACCTGTGCCCAAAATAATCCCTTCGGGGATTTTCAACACCAAGCTCAAATTCAAGTCCAAAACATGCCGAATCTCACCAAATACAACAAAATGACTTGAATCAAAGGAATAGCCAAGCAATGGCATACAAGAACCCTAATAACAAGCTCTAGATATGCATTTTCACAAGACAATGCATAAACACTCACATTTCATAGCAAAACACATGTAGAATCCAAGAAATCATCATATAGATAAGTAAAATAGATTTTGTAGAGCATGGGTTACCTCTTGTAGACAAAAACCTTCACTTAACACTTCACCAAGCTCCTAATAAGGCTCACCTTCCAAACCCACTTCAAGAACACACCAAAAGATCATAAAGATTCTATCTTTAAGAAAAGGCACCTTAGAAAACACTAAAAACACAAGATAAACATAGATCTTACCCTCCTAGATGCTCAAAGGTATGAAAGGTAGAATCTTGGAGACAACACTTGAAGATTTGACAAAGCTCCAACTTGGCTTGGAAGAAAAGCTATCTAACTTTTAGAGAGAAGGTAGAGCTCTAATTTGGGAAGTGTAAGGAACAAGAATGAGGAGTGTCTACTAGGTTAGCTTGCATTACTAACACAAAGTGAAATGTCATGAATACCCTTACTAAAATGAAGAGGTGTAAGGGAACAAGGGAACTCCTCTCAAAGCTTAAGGTACAACCTTGACTTTGGGGTTGACTAGTCAATTACTAGTCCCCGACTATTGAATTTTCAGGAATTTAAGGAATTAAATTACCAATTAGTTTAGGATTAATTACTTAATTAATCCCATAATTGAATTTGGATTACGGGGTGTCACACATGGGGATGAGGAATATGATGATGATGGGGATGAGGAGTATGTTGATGATGGTAGTGAGGAGAATGATGATGATGTGGATGAGGAGTATGATGATGATGCTAGTGAGAAGTATGCTGATGATGGCAGTAATGTAGAAGATGATTTAGAGTTTGATAAATGCATTGATGAAAATGTGGAATATGGTGGGGTTGGAAGAAATAATGAAGAAATTGAACAAAGGAGAGTAGAAACTATTTTAGGTGAAAATGTTGACTTATCTGATGATAGGGAAATTCTGGAAAGTGATGAAGAAGTCCAAGAGGATGTGTGGCAGGCTGGTAGGCCTAGAGGTCAAGATAATGCTCCAGTATTATGGATTGGGAGGACATTCACAACTAAAAAAAGATTTTAAAGAAGCAGTTTTAGAGTATGGAATAAGAAATGGGAAAGAGTTGAAGTACATCAAGAATGACAAGGTCAGAGTTGTAGCAATTTGTACCCATGAGTGTTGCAATTGGAAGATCACATTGAGAAGAGTGCCAGATGATGTGTGCTGGAGGGTACTAAGTTTCAATGATAACTATGAAGGTTGCACATGGAGTGAGAAGAATAGACTACTAACTTCTTCAAAAGTATCAAATAGGGGGAAGAAAGAACTTAAAGATAACTCCAAAATGACAATGCATGAATTCAGGAAAAAGATTTGGACTTCTGAGCATTACAGTTTGAGTTCTAGACAATCCTATAAGGCAATGTGTAACACCCCAGATTTTCAAGACATTTAAAACTTATAGAATAAAGGTGAAATCTCATTAAATCCCAAAACATAATACAAGAGTATGGGGTGCTATGCCACACCTGAATTAGAGAACTCAGGTGCACAGGCTAACTACTAATATCCTCAATAATGTAAACGCATAAGCATGGCACGTAGGCCAAAAAGGGAACTATCTACTTCTACGTTCCAAGTTCTAGCGCGCTCCAGTGACTTATTCTTCTGTGCCTGAAAGCCAAATATATCTGTTCAGCGAGAGATGCTGGTAACCCACTCCAACGCGTTGAAATACAATACATATAGAGATATATATAGATATACGAAAACCATTATGAGCATGAAGATATATCCTACGAACTCTAGCCTTAAAACCGGGAATGACTCGACAGATAAGGCCAGACACAAGCAACAGTTATAACGAGCATATGCAGTTCACAATAGATAAGGCAGATAAGGCAAGGCATAAACAATAATCATAACCCAACATGAACAATCCCCAATATAAGTCCCATAGTCACATCCCCCAAGACACTCATAATCACGACTCATCCATATCACAACACATAACACACTTTGTTGGCGCCACAGGACCAATCGCATGCCCATACATGAGGGTCAGCGCATATAGCTCTGACACGGCCCCGCAGCACCCTGCCCCGTATCGTAACACGGAGGGGTCGATCGCAACCGACCGATGAACCACAGCTCATCATAGTGTTTGATCGCAACCAAACAGTGGACCGCAACCCAAGGAGGGGTCGATTGCAACCGACCGATGAACCGCAGCTCATCATAGTGTTTGATCGCAACCAAACAGTGGACCGCAGCCCAAGAGAATGTCATCTGACCGCAGCCAGGAAAAAGGACGAACCGCAGCTCGTATAGAAACGTTTGATCGCAACCAAACGGTGGACCGCAGCCCAAGAGTATCAATCTGACCGCAGCCAGCTTCTGAACCGCAGCTCAGGATCACCAATCCGATCGCAACCGAATTGGGGTAGCACACACATAACACGTAGCAAGCACATGCAACCCACATTACACATTAGGAAGGGGGAGAAAGCGCATAACAAAACCTATGCGTGAT